GTACGCTTTCTGAGGTACGCTTTCTGAGGTACGCTTTCTGAGGTACGCTTTCTGAGGTACGCTTTCTGAGGTACGCTTTCTGAGGTACGCTTTCTAAGGGGCACATCCCTATATTTCCCTACCTGCGTCGATAAACACGTGCCCCCAATGAAGTCTCGCGGCACGCACCCAGGTACGTTTTCCAAGGTGCGCTTTCCAAGGTGCGCTTTCCAAGGGGGACATCCCTATATTTCGCTAACCACGTGCCTCAAAGGCACGTACCTAGTTCTTCTACCCATATTCGCCGACCCATATTCCTTTTTCCACGGGCTTTGACACGAGCACTGATAGACGTAACTAAGGCTAGGGACTGAGACTCGTCCACTGTTTGCCTCTGTGCCTAGATGGACTCAAGTTTGGGTGAGCCCGCTCGGCCACTACATTAAGATACTGCAGAAGCACTACACAATCGAGATGGCCAATCTGGGACGTCGACACCGACGTCTGGTCGGCCAAACCATCGACGATGAGGTTGATGTACCAGGACGTGTGGCTATAGAAGGGAAGAGAGGTTTTGAGAACACTACTCAAGTTGCTGGTGTGATAACTGATATTACCTGTGCCGCTCATCCAAACACTCAAGGCTGACCATCCTCCATCCTGTCTACACCCGACAGCTTTCAAGGTCCTTTGAGTCCCCCTCCGACTACCGACGATCATGCGGCGGGCCTTGACGAGGTCGGCTCGTCAAAGAAGCCACCTTTCTCACCCAAACTGCTAGCTTCCTTGTCGTCCGTAGTCTCTCTTCGAAAATCTTCCGGAGTCATCACAACAGGGACTGGATAGTAGGTTTCCTACAATATTCTTAGTTAGGATATAGGATGTAGAGGGCAAAAGCTCACCATATCTTCTTGACGAGGAGGCCAACTGGAAACGAAACAACTCGAATACACTGTACACTTCCCCTTCCGGCGAACAACGATATATAGATCTGCGTCATATAATTCAACAGTCTCATTGCATTTTCTAAGGAGACTGCGTTTGCGCTTCTCGAAATTCTCGTTCGCTCTTCGCCCACCACTCTTTTTTTTGATGCTTCCTTCTCTTTTATCTCGCTTTTCAAAAGCTTGCAAGGTCGCATGAGCTGCGGAGACTGAAGACATCATCACTCGAGGGCGATTGTGGCGACGCAAGTTTAGGAGGTATCTTTCGCATGGACGGCGACGATCGTCCCGCAGGTATTAAGGATTTCATTTGTCGTGGCCCTGATATCCTCTCTTTCAGAGGGGACGAGAAATAGGCCATTGCCTTCTCTCATACAGGTCACCGATTTAGGAGGCAATGGCAAATCCGATAGTATAGAACCGTTTTCTCTGGAAGTGAATGGGAATGTTAGAGCCCAAAAAGGGGCCCTCGAGAAACTTCCCCAATCCAACGACGTAAGCCAGAACCACAGGTCATGGTAGAGCCGGAACGGGCCCTCTTCTAGGGATCGTTTTCGCTGTAAGGAGAACGGTTGTGCAAAGGAGAATTTGACCACAGCCTTCCATGGTGCATTCAGTGTCTTTCCGATGCCCCAGCGAAATTTGTTTTTTCTACCTCGCCTCGCTCGCGATTGGGGGAATCTCGGTCAACCATAGTGACACTAGCGCAACTTGCCTTTTGCGCTCTGCGCGTTCCCGTAACTAGTGGATGCATGGGTTAACGCTATCTTTGTCACTGAGGGCATTTATTGTAAATGCTACGACGTGCGGCGCAGATCATCACTGGGCCCTTTCGAACCACGGCGGGAGCTGCATTAGACGTCGAGGACACACTTGCGTCCAGTGATGCAACAGCTCGAACAAACGGCTCTCGAAGCCACCATGTGGATCAGCACCACACCACTCCACGCGGAAATGACGCTCTGCGGAAGCAACAACAAGGACCCGAGCCCTCTCGATCGATTTTCAAAACATCCTCGAAAGGAAGTACGACATCCAGCTCAACCAGTTAGAGAAACGCGCACCACACGTCGTACCTCCATGGTGGACCCCACCATTCACCCACATCGCTGAGTCGCCAGAGATCGCACTCAAGGAACACGACGCTACCGATCCATCTACGCTATGCGTTTACACACTGATGAAAGTGGCATCGACGGCCATGTTAGGGCTGCGGTGGTAGCACCGATGCTGGCAATCCAGGGTATTCGAGCGAAGAGAATGGAATACATGGGCACATCAACCACCTCCACCGTGTACGCGGCAGAGCTGAGGGGGAATGGAGCTGGCATTCCAGATCGTACTCGACGGTCCACGCAAAGACCAACGCCGCCGGGAGGTGCATAGTCTTCACTGACAATCAAGCCGCCATTCAAGCGATGGCCAACCCCAAATGCCCCTCTGGACAATATATCCTAGCTCAGGCGGTCCGAGCACTGGACGAGCTCCGTAACCAAGGATGGGAGGTTCAGCTGCGCTGGATTCCCACACATGTCGGGGTTCCTGGCAACGAAGCCGCCGACCGAGCAGCCAAAGAAGCCGCCTGACATCATGCCGATGCACAGACGCATGAAGGATCGCCGATGGAACCAGAATCACTCCGAACCCTCATAGCCACGACCAAATCCACCATCCGCGAGGTCATGAAGGTTGAATGGGACCAGAACTGGGAATCAGCCAAGCACAGCCGAGAACTTTTCCGACTTGGGGTCCGGCCCGGAAAAGGGACCCTGACCACACATGGGCACCCACTGAGCGATCAGCTCGATCATCACACAGGTGCGCACAGGCAAAGTCGGCCTGCTCGCGCACCTCCATGCCATCAAGAATGCCTACACCGACGAATGCCCATGTGGCTGTGGACGACAGACCGTACGACACATCCTGCTCAAGTGGCAGAGACAGAATCGGGTCAAAAACAGAAGATCACGTGATAACCGCATTAAGAGGATGTGGTTGAGTTCTTACCCTAGTTACCCCACTGCCATGTTGTTCAAGAAGACCTGTGACTGGAGACCTATACCCTTACGGGCTTAGTCGAAAGGAGCAGCTCTGACAGGCTTCACGATTGATTCCACTATTGCTTGCCCTACCTTGCCCGTTCCGAGGTGGCCCTCCGAGCATGGTTGCGATGCTGGGTTGCCATTCTATAGGCGCAGCCCGCAGGCATGCAGGAACGGTGCCGCCACACATGGGTTGCCCCCATGTCGCCCGCCTTTGTTGCTGGGGTGCTAAGAACACGTGTCTTCTTTTAGGTCGACATTTCTCGAATCTTCTGTGCTGCAGATCTTCCAGCAGATTGTGCTCCTATTACGGTGAACCATAAAAGTCTGTATGGCAATTACCGCACATGCCCCGAAATTCGAGACGTTTTGCTAGCGAGATATGTCCATAGCAAATCTGGTCCTGTAACGCTTTTAATGATACTTGGTTGCCTGCTTAGGATTTTAATCACGTGGCATCCCTCCAGCCAATCGAGGCGAATCAGTGACACTCATGCTGGTGTTTGCAGTGCATTGCCATACTGTCCTCCTTGAGCATTGATATCCTGCCCCCACATCCAGCAGTATCTGACCCACCTTCTCATTACAGAGGATCTCAAAACCGGCGTGCCCTTGTTTGCGTGTCGCAAGTAGGCTGCCGCGGATTAACACGAACACCTTCACGATCAGCCCGCAGCGACACGACCCAGAAAGAAACTCAAAAAGGTCTTCGGGGAACCACCACTCTTCAATGCATCGACCATAATAAAGCCTTCTGCCCAAGTCTCAATACTGTCGCCTGAAAAACTTGAGTTGCAGGGCAATCAAGATGACGGGTAGGACACTGACGAGCTCTCCTAACCCAGCGTACTGAGGTTCGATCCGAGCATTAACAAAGGCCCCAGCAGCCAGCAGTACAGCGAATACGTTGTACACGAATGCCCACGCAAAGTTGAAGAAAATGCGGTAGAAAGCGGCCTTTGACAAATCCAGCAAGATCAAGACCCCAGACAGATATGGACGCACAAGCACAACATCAGCAGCGGTCTGGGCGACGTCGCTACCAGTATTGATGTGTACGCCAATATCAGCTTGAGCCAGTGCCACTGCATCATTGGTACCGTCGCCACAGAAGAGAACTTTCTTTCCTTCATCAGCTTTGAGTCGTTTGAGGTACTCCTGCTTATCGCCGGGTGTGCATCTAGACCTAACGTGGCTAACCGGAATGTCGAGTTTGGCGGCCACAGCGTCAACAGCTCCAGCATCGTCGCCACTGACGATAGATACACCAATGTTGCGCTTCTGGAGCTCAGCGACGACAAATTGAGATTCTGGGCGGAGTGAGTCGCAAAGACCAAAGATGGCGACAAGCTCCTCAGCCATGGTCACACCAACAACTGTAAGACCCTTCACCAGAAGATCTTGGACTTCAGGGCGTTTGTTCGCGGAGAGCCAGCGAGTATTGCCACAACGCACTTCAACACCTCTAAATGTCCCTTGGACTCCCTTGCCAGTGATCGACTTGGTATCTTCCACGCTGACAGCGTCGACACCCTTCTCGTTAAGGCACGAGGCAAGAGCGGTGGAAACAGGGTGTTTGTTGTCGCGGGTTAAGCCCAAAGTAACGGCAGCTGCGAGAGCCTGGTCTTCAGAGAGGTATAGCTCTTCCATGACCGCAAGTCGACCTTGGGTGAGAGTTCCGGTCTTATCGAAGACAACATGAGAAATATTGCGTGCCACTTCAATCGTCGTAGCGGACTTGAAGATAACACCATGTTTTGCTGCTACACCTCCGGCAATAACGACGACCATGGGAACGGCCAGACCAATTGCGCATGGACAGGAAATGATAAGAACTGACAGAGAGTAGGTGATTGCGTTCACGGCAGCAGGGCCGCTCCTTTGGTGACGCACTGCAACACCGATAGCAACCCAAATAGCGAAAGTGATGATGGTGAGGACCAAGACAACGGGGACGAAATAACCAGCAACAACATTCACAATCTCCTGGGTCTTGGGTTTAGAGAACTTGGCTTGGTCTACCATGGTCGCAATCGTGCTTATAGTATTGTCGCCAGGAAGATGTGTCAGTCGTACCACGATGACGCCAGACCCATTCAACGATCCGGCGATGACTGGGGAGCCTGGGTACTTCTCAACTGGTAGGGATTCACCAGTGACCATGGACTCGTCGACTTCCGTCGTGCCAGAGACTACCACACCATCTGTCGTAATGCGCGAATCTGGTTGAACCTTAAAACAGTCGCCATACTGGAGAAGACGGACATCAATCGGTTCGTCGTTAAGGCCACTAGTGGTACAAAGCGTAGCCGTTTCTTCCTGGAGAGACCTGATGGAGACGGACTCGACTGCCCTTTGTCGCGCGAGGCACTCACCAGTCGTCCAAGGACAATCAATGTGATCAACAGCGTGCTGGTCTCGAAGAATTGCTCGATCGATAGTGGTTGCCCAACCACTACGTAGGCGAACAAGACTATCGAAAAGATGTAAGCTGTGGACGTGCTGAGGACGATGAGTAGGTCTATCTCGATCACTCGGGTGAACAGCAACGCCCGCAAAGCACTAGGATAAAATGGTCCGGCAACGACAACCTGCACGATCGTGGCCAGTGCTAGGGAGGCGCTTCCATAGGCAATAGGTCGATGAGGAAGGGGAGCCCATGCCATGACAAGTACTGGAATTGTAAGAATGGTGGAGAGCAACGTAATCCAGGCCATATTCCAAACATGCCGTTTCCCACTCTCCAGTTCAGAGGAGCGCCGAGGAGCGCCAAGCTTCAGAGGACTGTCAAAGCATTCCCTTAGCAATACTCTTGCTCCGATGATCCTGCCATCATACGAGATGCGCACCAATTGATGCCCGATAGCAGTCATTTGGAGGACGCCGTGAGGATATTTTTGGGCAACGAAAACCTTTGCATCGCCGTCGACAACAACATCAACTTCTTGGCCTTCGTTGTTTATCCGCTGACAAGCAAATCCAGTGGCCTTTTCGACGGACTTGATGACTTCGTCTATGGAACCGGCCTTTTCGTTAAGGTCGAACTCGGCCTGTGAAAGTACTAGACTGGTCTGAAGATGGAAAATACCTGGAATGGCGTGCAAAGATCTGAACAACTTCGTTTCGCAACCCGTGCATGTGAGTCCTTGCACGTCCAAAATGACATGCTCGAGATTCGATGGGATCTGTTCGAGGTCCAAGTCCGCTGCAGGTTTGATGTCGAGGTTTTTCGAGGGGAGAATATTGAGCTGATCGCGGCTTCCAGGACCAGAACAACAGTCACCCTTTGAAGAGCAGACAGCATTGGAGGCCCCAGGACCATAACTCGAACCAGAATGGCCCTCCCTGCATTCATTAGTGGGGGAGGTTTCAGCACAGCTGCGAGAGGCCTTTCCTCTCCCTCCACAACTACCATTCCTGCGAGGACCAGAATATCCGTTCTTGACTGCGACACAACTGTTCTCGAGGTCGCAGCAATCACTGCAACTAGTAATCTGAGCCGACTTTTCCGTTGTTGTCTCATAACAATTTCCTGGTTCTTTATCGCAGCAGCCATCCTGCTCTACAGAGCTGCGCTTTTCGACAGGGCGGCCCTCCTTACAACAAGGCTCGAGCTGCTTCGCAACGAGTTCCTTACAGATACAGCCTATTCTTGCGAGGACTGTACTGTAGCGGTTGCGGACACTGCGTGAATGGGCGATGCAAGCTTCGCGTTTCCGTTTGCGGCTTGGATTCGGAAGGGCCGGAAACCCAGGCTGACCATAAGGGTATGCTCCTACTCGTGTGGAGCTTGAACCAGGCGGTACGGTCTCGTCGCACAAGGTGTGGCATTTATCGCCGCTCCAACTCGGATTCTCTGCTTCCCCACATTGCAGCGCGCACTCTCGTAATGCTACCTTCTCAATGCAACTCTCTGTATAATTGAATGGTCAAATCTGTACGAGCAATCGAACTCATTGGGCACCATACCATCACAGCAAGGACGAGCCGTAGCACTGCTCTCAGGGTTGACCAGCGAAGGAACGCAAGTCCAGCAAGGGGGAAGAGTAAGCCTGTCAAGTGCCGCCATTTAGATTAAGTCTGCGTAGGACAAAATAATGCTTTGAGGGTTGGAAAACAGAAAACCGACAATGAGTTGACCAAGTTAGTATATGTACAGTACGGAAAGTCCACGGTTAAGGGGCGCGTGGCAATGCGAGAATTTGCGGAGCCCTCTCTGCTATCCTGATACCAACCAATGAGTAACGATCAGTGACTCACTCCAGGACAAGGGAAAATGCCTCTGAGTTTGCCGAAGATCGACATGCCAATCATGGGTGGACCCCAAGCGCCGGCAGAAGCTAAAATCTTTAAAATGGAAGAGAATAAAACTCTCAGATCCACTCTGGCCACGAATCAAAAGTGAGCAGATGCCGGCGACGAAAAGGTTGAGGAATTTGGCTCAAAATGTTGATCCGGCGCTAGTCAGGTAAGGTGCTCACTTGAGCAAGTTTGAGCAAGTTTGAATCTATTTCCTAGGTCTATCTATATTTGAACCTCGTAGACGGCTTGTACAGGTGAAAACTATCGAGTATTTCGCCAACCCTACTCTGTATGTACGCCAGACAGCCCATCAAACCATGGATTAATATTAATCCGGCTATGCTTAGCGTACTCACCTTGCTGCCTCGCCTCTTCCCACACAGCGGTTGCCATTCACAAAGACTGCACCACGGGGCACCAGGGACATAGGTTTGGGTCCCTTTGAGCGCCGCTGGCATTAGCCACGTTCCAGCTTGGCGTGAAGGACGCGTCAGCACAGACTTGGCGAGCTGATTTGGCGACGGCAAGTAACTGAAGCAGATTCAATCCAAGCTTTCAGCTGACTAAAAGGCCAATGCAAATTGATTGTGGCGCCAAGCAATAGTCACGTGACCAACTGCGTTCATTGTTCTTCGGCTGGTCACCCAACGTTGCGGAAGCTTGCCTGTGAACAAACCACTGGTAAAGTCGGCTGAAATAAGATGCAATTTATCGAATCGTACGTGTCCAACAATCAAGGCCTCCGGCTTGGCGTCGTCGGTGAGTACAGTTTGATAACATACCGAAGGTGTGACAACGCAGACCACTTCTGACATTTCTCCTTTCAGGCTTCCTCGCTATCCTAGGAGAAGGTTCCGTAGATACAATTGCCCAAGTCGCTACGCTAAGCTATCTCATCTACCTCCCTCGCCTCATTCCTGCGCCGCAGATCTTCATTAGACCTTCGCGGCCGGAGAAATTTCAGACCACTGCTGGTGCAAAAGTAATCGGTGTCCATTCGGGTAATACTGGAGAAGATATTCACCATGTCGCCCACGCCTTGCACCGCGGAGACAAGTTGAACGCCAACACTGTCAGCTGTATCCGGGTGAAGGAAAATGACAAGCCTCGTCCATCGATCAACAGATTTGGTCCATTAGCATTCCTGGCCATTTTGGGAACGGCATTGACTTGTGCCTTGTTGGGGCTGTCGATTCACTACGAGGACGGGTAAGTGGAATACTTTACTGCTTCATAGCCTTATTTACCCTTGTTGAACAGCATGTCATTGTTGGCTACTCTTCTGCTTTCTGCTCTGAGTACCGTTACTGGTGTTGCCAACAAGTGGAAACCGACACCAAATGACCCCAAGCCCGACCCTCATTCCCCGCCTGGGAACGTTGTCATCAAATATCCCCAGGGAGCCTTTATCGTGGTGTCGTGCCAGGAGCGAACCGCCCGCTACCTCTATTTCAACTCTAGCGAGCGATGCATTTATTCTGTCAAGAGTACGGCCATCTACAGAGGACTCTCTTTGATTTCAACCTTGTTACTCATGGGTGGAGTTATTTGCTTGGGCAATGCTCGCATCGAAACACAGACGGCATTTGCTGGGTCCTATATGCTTATTAGCATCTTCTACTGGATTGGCGCTGCTTTGCCTCCTGCTCAACACTGGGACCTTTCCCGGTTCGAGGTCGAACACATTGAAGTTTCCGGGGGCACTCCCCCTAGAAACGCAAGGGTCGACAATTACTCACCGACCTACACAGAAGCTTTGTGGAAAGCAATTGCCGTCACAGGAACTAGCAACTGGGTCAAAGATGCCGGTTGGGCGCCCAGAACTCCAGCTTGGAATGACTGGCTTCATGAAGCCGAGGAAGCAGCGCTCGGTGAACCCTTGAAGTCGAGTGCGAAAATGGTTGATGGGAAAGCAGTCGAGGTCTGGACGATTCGCAATTGGGACGGTAGAAATGCCTTGTCAACTCTGCTACGATCGACGACGGACAAAATCCAGGCCAAAAATTAAAGCTGTGACAATTTTAGAAATACTGAACACACAATTGCCCGGAAAGCATTTGGCCCACAACAGAACGATCATGACATGTACAATGATTGATGATTGAATCCCCTTACGACTTGGCTCCTCGTCTACTTGTATGCCGAATCGTTCGATGCCATACAGGGAGGTGATTTTGGCGCTTTTTTTATTTCAAAGATTATAGGAACCTTCTTGCTTGAAAGGTAGTGACCACTTGCCTGAACCCCAGGAGGGGTCCGATCCACCACAAATCACAATGCGAGTTCATTGGTCTGTCCTATGTTAGTCCATGTCAGTTGGCTTGTCCTAGAGTGGTCGTTTGAAAGTAACTTGGCAGGCCTTGGATACAAAGGTGGATGACGACGCGCCTATACCTTTGCAGTGCTGGCTCTGACCCTGGAGATCAAGGGCCATTGTATTATCGGTAAACCCATTACAATACTGCAACCCTGAAGAGCTGTGCCGTCTCGACGAGAGATTCGATTACGCATTGCGAGACATCACCTGTCTAGTCTTTTGGACTCGATTATCTGTTTCGAGGTATCTTTCGTTGAGCGTATAGGCGCATGATGCCCAACTACCAATTGAGGAGGTACGGTATGCGGGGTAACTTTAGTGCTGTTTCGTGACGCCCGCAAGAAAAATCGCCGTAACTAATTGGCCGAAGGGACAATTACACTCCGTACGGATGCCCGTGAATAATTGGGGCGTCAAACTGTAGCAGAATTAGGCGGGGATTTAGGCCACCGCTTCTGGACATAATTCGCGCACCAATACCATTTGAGGCTGCATACACGGGCGATGATAAGGAAATCTACTGGTGCCGATCGTGGCTTGGCAAATCGGCCAACCCCCCAGCCCCTGCAACAAAGGACTTCCAGAAATCCCACGTGAAAATATATTTGGGGGCCCCAAAAGCGAGGTCAGCCTCGCGCGACAGTGTAACTGCGGTTCTCCGTAGAATCACAGACACACGAAACAACTCTTTTCAATCTTCGTGTCAGCGGAACATAAATGGCACTTTTCGCCTTCATACTCTGCGCTCGTTCACAATCCTCAGCGTCTATCACCTCTTGCTTCCACGTCAAACTTTTTGCTACCTATGCGAGCTAAGGCACAGAAATCCGTCTACTACGAAAATATGAGTTGGGATAGCATCTGCTTTAATGCCAGCGCATTTGCAGCCGGCCTGTTTCTCCTCCAATTCGGTGCTGATCGTTTCATCGACTCCACAGCGATTGTCGCGTGTCGGCTTCGAGTTTCACAGACATTGGTAGCCTTGCTCACAGCAGGTGCAGAATGGGAAGAGGTACGCCTTCATGCAACAATGCAAGCGTAGAATTAGGCTGATTGATATAGCTTGCTGTCATCGTGGCATCCATCCTTCAAAATCGCTCCTCTCTCGCACTAGGCAATGTCATCGGCTCCTCAATCTCAAATATTCTGGGAGCATTCTCCCTAGGTCTCCTCTTCCATCCTGGCTACACGACATTTGATCGAAGCGCGAAAATATACGCAGCCTTGCTCTTTCTCGTTACCACGATCTTCACAGTTGTCGCTCTGACGAAAAGCCTCGGCAGGATCGCGGGAGGCATTTTCATTGCCGCATTCGCTGTATATCTGGTGTCAATTGGCTATGGGATTTACAGGGGCATGTTGGGTGCTCCGGAAGACTCGGATAACGACGACAGCGACGATCGTCAAAGCAGTGATTGCAACAACGAAGAGACACAGCATGATCACCCCCCAGCTGAAATATCACCATTGCTCCCTAAGAAAGCCAGTGGAGAGCATCCTACACACAGTCAAGAACGTGGTCTTTTCTATCACATTGTTCAACTCATCCTCGGCTTTATTGCACTGTCAATGTCGGGCTACATCCTCTCACACAGCGCAGCTTCAATCGCTGATGCGTTCGACCTTTCCGGCACCATCCTTGGCATAACGGTCTTGTCATTTGCTACTACATTGCCTGAGAAATTTGTTGCTGTCATTAGTGGTGCTCGGGGACATAGCGGTATCGTTGTTGCGAGTACAGCGGGAAGCAATATCTTCCTTTTGACTTTGTGTCTTGGGATCACGTTCGTAGCTGGGAATCAGAGAGAGCTCGCAGGCTCTATGGTACCGTTCGAGCTGCTTGTTACTTGGGCGTCATCTGCGCTGTTTTGCCCGATTGTGTTCTTGGGATCAAAGCGGTGGGTTGGTGGGGTGCTGCTGGTATTATACATTGCATTCATAGTCCTGGAGTTTACTGTGTATAGAAGATGACCCGTCGCGGATAAGAAATAAATTCACGCAATTTGACGAGGGGGGATTAGCTAAAACGAACCATCGTCCTCGCGGTGCCGAGGCGGCCAACTGCGGCGTGACTCTACGGAGGCATGCACCAAAAATGTCTGTCGACGCTAGTAATGAATGACGCCTTCTTTAAAAGACAAGAAGTTTTCTGCGCAGTTGCCCTGAACAACGCTCCCCGGAGATATCGGAGGTAATTGTGAAATGCCTATCACACCTAAAACTACTTACCTACGGGTGCTATCTATAAGGGTTCATTAGTCTAATAAAAAGCGATAATATGCATCCCGGAAATGCCCCGGGCATGGACATACTTTTATTCCACACATCTCCCAGTCCGCTATCAGGGTGAAATCTATTAATCGAAATATATCCATGTACGTATTAAGAGGACACTGGAAATGCCATCCATGCTGTTTTTGCCTAAAATTACCACACCTCTGGCACGTGGTATGACAGAATACTCCGAACAACGTTTTGTAGCTGGATTTCCGGCCTCTGGGTGATGTTTGTCTCAACAGATGTCTCCTTTCGTCTTAGGTTACGCTCGAGGCAACGCTTCACACCTAGCTATCTAAGTATCACTTTGGCTGAATGCCTTCGGCCGTTTAAGATGTCATGGGTTACTGCAGCCCTTGTGCTAGATATATTCTCCTCTCGTTTATATACCCTCTACAACCGATAACAATCATCCTGAGGTAAATATCACAAGTCTTCTCCAGCTGCGATCTCTGCCTGACTGGATTTGAAAGTCCTGCTTGTTGAGAACTGCCAAGGTCAAGGGTATCACAAGGTGGAACTCGGGGTTATTGGTCTTCGGGAGGGCAAGCATAAGGTACTTTCGGACAGATCTGGGAAGCGGAGGTATTAGCTCCAAGAGGGTTCAAAGTCACAACAGTATGGTGCAGTTGAAAACATGAGTTGACTACGGAAGAAGGAACTATTTAACTAGAGGAGTCGTGAGTCGTCGCTATATGGACATAAGAGATCCGTCTGGACTGTGAGGACTGCCCCTGGACTCCAGCAGTCCACGCAATCCACAACTAGTCCAGTCACGTGCCTCTCTGGACTGTAGTGGTCCTGCCACCGGTCGTCGCAGTCCACACAGTCCAGTCACGTGTCAGGCTGTCCCTGTTCTTCTCTCTTCGTCTGACCTTCCACTCCCATCGTCCCACCTGGTCGCAGACAGGTCATCCCGTGACACTGCTGGGCTCTATCCCTACTATGTCTTCCTGGATGCTCTAAACCCAATGATAGGAATACCTGTCCTCATAACCAGACTTGAGGATACGACGCTCAGAGAGCTCAACGCCATAGCCAGACTCGCCCACACAGGGTTCAACTTCGGGTGTCCAGGTGCCGGATAAATCACTCCTGCCGCAATTGGCACCAAGGCCACGTTGTACACCAATGCCCACGCAAAGTTGAACTTGACTCTCCGGAAAACCGTGCGGGAGAGTGTGATAAGAGTCAACAAGGAGTGCAGGTTTGAGGACACTAGCACGAATTTGGCACTTGATATAGCAACATCTGAGCCAGAGCCGATGGCAATTCCGGCGTCCGCGGCAGTGAGTGCTGGAGAGTCATTGATGCCATCCCCAACCATAGCCACCATTGCTCTTCCCGCCTTGCCGTTGCGTTTAGGGGCGGAGTTTTGTAGCCAACGGATCCGCTCAGCCTTTTCCGAAGGGAGAACACCGGCAATGATATTGGTCGCCGGGATACCTAGCTGATGCCCAACTGCAATAGCGGTCATGGCATTGTCGCCTGAGATCATCCAGATGCTTAACCCTTGCTCACGTAGAGCAGAAAGGACGGAAGCAGCTTCAGGACGGAGAGAATCTGTGGTTGCAAACTGTGCAACAAGTTTAAACGTGGTTTCATTCCCGTCTGAGAGTGACAATGGACGCAAAGCCAGAAGTGCGACGCTTTTCCCAGCGGATTTCCATGTCGACATAATGTTGGACTGGTCTGTGGTTATAGGGGTGCCAAGGGAGGAGACGAAAGTTTCACTGCCGATGGCAGCCTCGTACCGGGTGTCATTGGTGGATGTATGGATGGTAAATGTGCCTTTGAGGCCGCGACCAGGGAGTTCTTCAATAGCAGAGTCGGCGATGGTAGTGCGGCTTTGTCCTCCGCAGAGCGCAGCAATTGCTTTTGCTATTGGGTGACTTGAAGACTCCTCTAGGGCTTGCGCGATTGCCCAGATGGCCTTCGTCTCCTCCTCACCAGAAGCCATGATATCATAGTTTGTAACAGTCGGGTTTCCGCCTTCGGTGAGCGTGCCGGTTTTGTCAAAGACAACCACATCCAGATCCGAAGCTTCTTGAAACGCTTCTCCGCCACCTTTGACCAATATTCCGTGTTGCGCCGCTAGTCCAGAACCCACGAATAAAGCTGTTGGGGCCGCAAGGGCAATGCCGCAGGGGCACGCACCGACAAAGACTGCAATGGCAAACTGTAATGCCCAGAAAGCCCAGCCACCTGTGTCGACATCAAGCCAAGTTTCTGGCAGTGCCCCGCCCTGACCGAGTCCAAACCAGACAACAAACGTCGATACGGCAATGAGGGTAATCACTGGAACGAAGTATCCCGTCAAGATGTCAGCCACTCTCTCCACTGGCGCTCTTTTTGCCTGGCCTTCACGAACAACTTTGACGATTTGGTCAAGCATAGATGTTCCTGAGACTTCAGTGACTCGGACATTAATCGGTTTGCCCGTGTTGATTGTTCCAGCAAAGACTTGATCGCCAGTAGACTTGGTAATAGGCCGAGACTCTCCGGTCAAAGAGCTCTCATCGAAGGTGGAATCGCCCAGGACGATTGTGCCATCGGCTGGTGGAGATACGCCATAAAGTACTCGGACAATATCTCCGACTTCCAGAACATTGACATTGATTCTCTCGCAATTGGTTATCGGAAGAGATAACTCGCTATCTTCCGATTCCGGATTAGATCTCACAAGCAGAGCTTCGGTTGGCCGGAGCTTTCCGAGCATTGTGACAGCATCACCTGCCTTAGATTTACTGTACGCTTCCAAGTAGCGTCCAGCGAGAATGAACATCGTCAAGAACACAACCGTGTCGAAGTATGTCGATAGTCGCCTGTTGTGTTGTCCAGTTTTTTGCGCTTCTAGAGCAAGTACGGCGATCGAAGGGAAGTACGCCACCGACGTTCCAGCGGACATGAGCAGGTTCATGCTTCCGAAACGGTAAAATCTTCG